CTGAGCTGCATAGCAAGTTTAAAGCCAGCTGAAGCTACACCGTGGTATTGTGTCAAAGGAAGGGAGGGAGGAAGGGAGTGAGGAAGGAAGGAAGGAAGGAAGGGAGGGAGGGAGGAAGGGAGGAAGGAAGGAAGGAAGGAAGAAAGGAAGGAAGGAAGGAAGGAAGGAAGGAGGGAGGGAGGGAGGGAGGGAGGGAGGGAGGGAGGGAGGGAGGGAAGGAAGGGCTTAAGGACTTTTCCAACTGTTTGCTATGTTGGTCTTGAGTTAAAGGGGACAGTCAAGAATTTAGTGAGGAAAACCCAACTTTCTTTGTCCTCAAAAGTCTCTAGACCTTGTTATTCCATTTATAAGGGAGATTTGTGCTGAATAACTAATCTCACCTGTCAGAGTCATCTTAACATCATCAGATGTGTGTTGAAAGGATAAAGGAACAAAAAGCTAAACCAGCATTCATTTCTAAGTACAAGACAGTGATGGAGAAAGAGTGCATGCTACCCATGTTAGCATGATCTTTGCTTCCTTTAACGCTTGAGGCCTGAATCGTAGGAACTTGCCACATTTGGTGAGGAGAGAATGCTCCCTAATCCAGGGGTCATTTTTATGTGGTCCAAATGTGAAGGAAAATGTAGACATCAACTTCCCATGGAACACCCAGGAAGAGCTTCCTTTCCCGAGAGACAGGTTGTGCAGGACAAGAGTTTATGATTCTAGATTCTGGCTATGATTCTGATGTCACAGCTGATTGAGTCTCCCATTTGTCAAAGGTGAGGATTCAACAACTGCTGGGGTCTAGTCCTGCTCTGAGGTTCTGACGACACACACTTAGGAAAAAAAGAAAAGAAAAGATGTCCAGCTGCAGTTCAGGCTGCCGTCCGTGGCCATGGAGTAGATCGAAATAACCTGGGGCTGCGCACCAGTGAGCTGTTGGCATCAGTCCACGGCCTGATGAGTTGGCCAATCAAACAGGGCAGGGATTAGTGCCTAACTAGAATGTGGATTGTTGCTTTCCAAAAGAGCAATTTAAAGATTAAGGGGGGGGGGGAAATCCTGGGCAGTCTGGTCCCACTGCCATGCAATTCCACTAGCAGCTTTGATGAGTAATCGTCTGTTGCTCTGAGCTTTCTTTTCTCACCCCCGTGCCATCGTTTTCATTGCCAATGGCAGCGCCAGCTGCGTCAGGAGGGGATGAACTGGTACTGAGCTCTCTGCTCAGCTCTCAGCCTCCCCCCTAACAACCACCCACTCCACAGATAACTGTGAGGGAATGGCAGGGAGATTCCTGATGAAATTCCCGGCCTCTGACTCTTGAAGGTGAGACCTATGACAAGACTCTCTGCCTTGAAGCCATCTGTTGGGGACGTGGGTATCCATTCACCATCTGTTGGGTAGCCATCTAGTCTCAGGAAATACAGAGGAATTGAATGCTAACTACTGGGGATTCTGCCAGCAAATAATTCATTCGAATGAAATCTTAGAAATGAAGTTGTTCTGCTTTCCCTTAAAACAACCGCAGCACACATTAGTGAATCAGTACACCAAGGCCCTGGTGGTCTTCTCTTTGAAAAGCAACCTTCTGTCTGTAACTTCTCCTTTTACCCCCGATTACAACACATCCAGCTTGCTACTTCCCTTTCCTCCCCTTAACTGCTGACATGATGCCAATGAAGAAACGCCCACTTCATTTCTTTCTTGAGACATGCTGACTTGCTGGTTCGGCAATACACGAGAAAGGAAACGGGAGTCTGGCATGGTCACTTGAGCAATAAAGGGAATTTCATTGTGGCCTTCTGATGTGTGTATTCATAAGGAAACTAAGATACAACTAATTGTCTGTAAAACTATGTAATGCTGTCTAAAGCATATGATTTAAAGAATTTTCTTTAGGAAATTTGACTTTTCTAATACTACAAATTGAGTTTTTGAGTCATAATTACTTTGCATTTGGATAACTTAAAATTTACTAATTGGGCTGAAAGTTTCAAAGTTTAATTTCAACCACGTGTTAGGAAAAGTTGCCAGGAAATAATCTCCCTTTTGAGTGATGCGCCTGGGAAGCAGAATCCTTAGTTTCTAAATATAGGTCTTATGTGTAAGTTTTATTTATATATAAAACATTTTTCTTGAATCTTTGCCAACTTAACTGAGTTATCAGAGTTTTTGTTTTGCTTTGTTTTCAATTCTAAAAATGAATCAGTTTGGTAGTCCATGCCCATAATACTAGTACTTGGGAGACTGAGGCAGAGAGATTTGGAGTTGGAGGTCAGGGCAGGCTGCACAGCAAGGCTTGTTCCCTTCCCCCAAAGAATCAATGTAGCAACCATTTGCCCCAAGTCTGTGTTTTCAGTCCTCCAGAAGAATGGAAAGCAAGAGGCTAAAAGCTCTGGGACTGCTGCCTTGTAGCTGATACTTCATATAACCTCAGAGAAATTGGAATTTTTCCATCAACCTTTGCAACTCTAGACCCTTCTAGAATTTTGAACAGAAGTAAAGAAGAAATGTAGCATCTAACGTGGGGATGGAGCAATCTGGTAGAAAAAAAAATGCATTCTCTGAGATCCATAGCTTTCTATTCTTTTTTTTTTTGTATCCTCTTCAGAATTGTTCACCAGAAAAAAGAACCCCACAACACAGATCGACACATTTATATAATATTGCTTCAAAGATTGTCACATTTCTCACTCTCCCCAGTGTTGACTTATTCTCATGTCTCTCATTCAAGTTATTTTATTTTTTGAAGTTTGTTTTTGTTTTTGTTTTTACGAGACAGGGTTTCTCTGTATTGTTTTGGAGGCTGTCGGTCCAGCCCAGCCTTGAACTCACAGAGATCTGCCCGCCTCTGCCTCCCGAGTGCTGGAATTAAAGGCATGCACCACCACCTGGCTATTTTTTTGAAGTTTTTAAAAATTAATATACACTTGCTTAATTTTGCCAGTTTGTATTTGAAAAATCATTTCTACAAAGATAAACAACTATTAATCCATTCTCTTTAACTGACATAGAGTGGAGAAGGGCTGCATTCATCCACTAGGAGATTGGTGTTCTACCTATTAAGGAGAGGGTAAAGTTTCTTTTCAACTGATTTTTTTTTTGAGACAAGGTCATACCAAGTTGCTCAGACTCATGATTCCCCCTGCCTCAGCTTTACATGTTCTGCGGTTGTTGTTGTTGTTTTTTTAGATTTATTATTTTGTGAGTATTTTACTTCCATAAATGTCTATGTGCCATTCTGTGTGCTGTATGTATGCATACAGTGCCCATGGAGACCAGAGGAGGGCACTCGCTCCCCTGGAATTGGATCCACAAATGACTGCAAGGCACCATGTGGGTGCTTGGAATCAAACCCAGGTTCTCTAGAAGAGCACCAAGTGCTCCCAACCTCTGAGCTATCGTGTTCTGAGACTTCAAGTGTGACCCACACACTTGGCTTTTTAATTGGCTTTTAAGATGCTGCTACCTAGAATATCCACTAATCTTTCCAAATACAATTGAAGTTCTTTCCAGGTCCATCTTCTATCCTGCTCCCTCCATCACTGTTTGGTAGCAAGTTTAAAATGATTGCCCTTCATCATAACCATCTGTTGTCCTGATGTTTCTCTCTATATAAAGTACATGATACAAAACGAGCATTTCTAGGGATGGAATTATTGAGCCTGTGTTGGGCTTAGTTAGGAATCACTATATTCTAGGAGCATTCTGCTAGATTGCAAGGTAGTGAGTGGGTAAACTGTTCTAGACAAGCACTTGCACTGTGTCTTGTGAGGAACATGAAATCATTTATTAGTGCTGGCAACACATGTCATCTAATCTTCCACAAGCACCATAGCCAGAGACGGTCACACACAACTGTAAGAGTGTGATCCCTAACCAGAGCTCTCCACTGAGAAATGGACATGGTTAGGCTTACACCTCTCAAGAAGATCGGGTCCAATTACTGTGGAAAGAAAGCACTGGTAAATACTTTCATTAACTGAAATTGTCACAGACACAAATTGGAGTTACTTTCTGGATCCCAGCGTTTTCCCAGTGGACCCAACTGTGCTAGGCCAACCAATCTGGGTTCTCTCAAGGGTCCACACCTGGAGCTCAGCCCTTGGAACAAGCAAAGATGCTGCGTTAGCACATTTTCTAAATAGACTATTAGCGCCTTAGTCATCTGCCCAGACGGATCTAACAAAATACCAGAGGCTGAGTGGTGTGTAAACAATATAAGAGTATTTCTCATGGTTCTAGGGACTGAAAGTCCAGGGACTCAGGTGCTGGCATGGCTGAGTTCTATTGCATGTTAGATTCTTAGTTCTGTTATAAATATACTTGTTCATAAAAGTGCTGTGCAAATATCTTTTGTTGGGTTTGCTCCCACAGTCAAGTACACTGGAAAACAGATGTCCCGGTTTCCCTGCAAAACAGTTGTGTCTTTCTTTCATGTTATTACCACCTCCAGATAGCAGTACTCCAGTTCTTTAATACTGCTTCCAGATTGATAGGCAGAAAGTGCCAGCATATTGTCCCCTGTTTTTCAAGTTTGCATTTCTTGGGAAAAACAGGTCATACTTAGCGAGAAGACCTGGATTCCCTTCAGTTCTAGAGTGTCATGCTCGTGTTGCCCTTATCGGCCCATGGCTGCCTCCCTCACTGACTGACTTACCCTATCAAAATGCTAACAGAGTTTCCTGCCATCCACAGGTTTTATCAAAACATCACGTGGGCTAATTTTGACCACCACCCCAAATACCAATATCCTTTTCATTCTGTTGCAGGGAGGCAAGACCATTAGGGCCTTTGACATCTTCAGACGACCAAAGATGGCAAAAGCAATATTGCTTCGTTTCATTTTGCTTTAACATTTAGATTCAGTGACTAGAGGCAGGTGAGAGAGCCTTTTAATCAACTCTCTCTCTCTCTCTCTCTCTCTCTCTCTCTCACACACACACACACACACACTCACACACACACACACACACACACACACACACACTCAATCCTTATTTTGTGGTGCTTACCTTTTCTAGTGACTGTTCCATGGGTGACAGACAAGATCTGGTATCCCCACAGGAGCCCGGATGCCTCTCCATCCTGTCAAACGGGGCACGTTTACTTTCACTTTTTTTCTCTCTTTCATGGGCTGCAGACTGAAATGAGCCTGTCGGTGCTGGAAGCTGACCTTGGAGGACCAGGCTTCTCACGAGGAGGCTGGGAACAGGGAAAGGCCGCTTCTCTGCCATGGCACTAGCTGCCGCCCTGAAGTCCCTTGTCTTGTACATGCTCACAATGTGGCAGGCCTTGACTGAGGCTTCAGACTTGCTGTGTCAGAGCAGCGGAAGAAAGGCGGGGGAGAGGGGGTTAGGAGGGGGGGGTCGGGGGTACCTATTTTAATTTTATTTTAAAATCAAATGTATATCAAACATCTTAGAGGACTGAAAATTATGTGAAAGCAAGTTTAGTATAATGGAGTGAAGAGTAATATAACTATTTCCTGGTGGGCTAAAACTTCATTGTTGCTTTTGCATTTGGAGCATCCTTTCATTATATGTGTTATATACATGGTATATTTACATATATATGTGTGCATGTGAAATGTGTAAACTATTGTATTCAAATATGGTAGTTTTTTATGTATGTGTCAAAGTATTGGGACGGTCTGGTGCGAGCTTTGGGCCCTGAGATAGCACTGGAATAAAAGTGAAAGAAAACTCCAAGAGCAGGCTGCCCTCTGTGTGCCATCCCTACAGCTCCCCAGTGAAACATGCAGCTGCTTTGTTCACTACAGTAAGGAAATCTAAAATCTGCAAGAGAAAGCAGTACAAAGTCCCCGGTACAGACAGAGGACCTTGCATCAATAGCGACAAGACATAGGCTCCCCCAACCTCAGCTTTCATACTTCCAATAACAGAGGGGCTGTCTGTCCACTAAAGGAACGCCCAGATTTGTACTTTCAGGAGATGCTGGATGGTGTGACACAGGGTATGTCATCCAGTCTGTCTGAGGAGCCAGATTCCTTGCCTGTCCATGTGAACCTACTTTTTTTCCCCTCTGCCTTTGGACCTGGCCCTCCTGTCTCATCTCCCTTTCATGAATTCCTACTGCAGCACCAATTATTTCCTTTGCTGGTAGCTTACACCAAACCCAGCTGTAATGGGGGCACCGAGAGGTTTATTGGCCAGAGGCACACTGTCATTAGCAGCACAGCCTGGATTTGAACCCAAGTTGTCACACTGCAAATTCACAAGCCTAATCAATAGTACTGTGATGCCTCACCTCCTAGGAGGCTGGTGGCTTTCAAGCTTGTATCAGCCCTGAAGTTTTGTAAGGGATAGTTCCTAAAATCTCAAAAACAGAGAGTCACTAGGTATAGTTAAGCTGGAACCTGGATGTCAGCCACATGTCCCATCCACAAGGCTAGGCTTGCTCCCCGGTATCACAGAGCCTCAAGCTCTGAATGAAGAAAAGCCACCACATGTGACCATGGCAGAACTCAGCTTACCTTGTGTCCTGTCCATAGTCTGCCTGATGGTCAAATGTTCAGTCTTCACAAGGGAGGCAGAGACACAAGTCCATGACTCAGCCTAAGCATCACTGTCAGCAGTCAGATAGCATAGCTGACCTAATTCTTCCTCTGAGGACCTGATGAGATAGTGCTATCAGTGCCATGCACACCCTGCTTTACCTCGTCACCTTTCCAAACAGACGTGAAAAGGTCGGAGGCTGCAAGGACACATTTTTGAGTATCAACACCAATAGCACTGCCAGGTTGATGAGAACTGATTTGTTGTATCAACTTGAAGTTACACATAGGAGTCAATACTGGATAAGTGTAGTTCTGCCAATCAGTGGGTGGGTTTGGACCAGTTGCCAAACATTCCGTTTTCAGAATTGGTGAGGTGGTTCATCAGCATTTGCTACACAAGCCCAGTGACCTGAGTCCTGGAACCCATGGCAGGACCCAGGGCCTCCAAAGGTGGGAGAAGAGAAGCAACCCCATGGCGCATACACACACACACACACACACACACACACACACACACACACACACACACCACCACCACCACCACCACCACCAGCAATAAAAGATATTTTAGAAAGATTTCATTTTCCCATCTAGAAAATGAAGTTATATAAATAAAACTCAACCAAATACCCATTACCAGTTTAATTATTAATTACTGTTTGAAATTAATGAAGTTAATATTCTAATTGTAAGAAAATGTTAAGAGTCGGTATTTTTATAAAGTTTTCTAGTATATATTGTTACCTGTTTATTTAGAAATGACCCCATGAACCTTTTTTTTTGTTTTCTTTACATTTAAACACTTTCCTTCTGGGTTGTGTCTTAATTTTCAAGTGATTTTTCTTTCTTAAATGTGTTAGGTTATGGAACATAGTTAATCCACTTAAACTCTGATCATATAATAGATGTCTTTGTGAAGTACATCTAATTAAAGATGAATGGAAACAGTAATGTGTCAGTGTTTGTGGGAAAATATACCGGAGTTATGTAAGGCGTTTAAACAATGAGAGTTGGGTGATGACTATATAGGATTCCTTTGTAAAAACACTGAAACTTTTCTAAACCTAAAATGCATTCTGTGAAAGCTGCTTTTAAACAGGTGTCAATGACAGGAGAATCTCGTGCATAAGTAGCATTTTTGATGTTCTCCTATTTGCACATACCTGTTTCCTTCTGTTAACACTTTTCCCTATGCCTGAGATGTGCCTTTGACACGTTTTTGCAGTGAAGATCTCTTGTTGATGAACACTCTGCACATTTCATCTGAACGGCCCTTCCTCTCACCTTCAATTTTGAACTATATTTTTGCTAGCTGGGTGTACCCTTCTGCCACGTTGAAAGTCACGTGAATGTATACTTTCAATGTGTCGATCCACTAGTTTTTCACTGGCATTGTTTTTAGCCAGAAGTCTCCTATTCTGGATTTGTTTGTTGTTTTAAGGCAGAGTCTCACTTTGTAGCCCAGACCAGCCTTCTGCCTCATGCGCGCTAGGATTACAGGTATGTGCCTCCACGCCCAGCACATTTCTGTCATCTAGCTCCCATGTATCTCTTCTGCAGTTTCTCATATATAATCAGTCAACCCTGTCCAGCTGCATAAATTTCTTTTTACTGCATAACTAATTACCACAGATTTCAGATCTTACAACAGAAATCTTTTATTATCTCACAGTTTCCATGGTCAGGAGTCTAGCCTGACGTAGCTAGGGCCTCCTCTCAGGCCTCTCGAGGCAGAAATCAAGGTTGTCATCTGGCTGCCTCCAAATACCTCAATTAGGAGAAGTATCTGCTTCCAAGTCCCTTTGGGTTGTTGGCAGAATTCGTTTTCTGCGGTTATTAGTCTGAAGCCCTGCGTTCTTGCCTGCTGTCAGCTGTGGGCTGCTCCCCCGCCCCCATTCCTGCCACATGGCTCTCTCTGTGACATGGCAGTACACAGCATGTCTTCTGGGACACACGAAATCCCATTCTGGTAAGTGCTGTGATGACTTTGACTTCTAGATCTACTGTCTGGGTCAGTTCTTGTGTGATCTTAATGAGTTGATTGTTCTCAACATTTTCTTGCCTCAGTGCATAGTAATCTCTCACCAGATGTCAAAAATTATAAAGCACTTTATAATGTGTAATAGTATTTTAAAATCATGTCTAATTGTAGTTTTTAAAAGATCATGTAACATAAAATAGGGTGTGCTAACCACTTGTCAGGATATAGGGCAGTGGGAGTGTGTACATTCACCTTGCTGTGTAGCACCTCTCTGGAACTTTCTAATCTTGCAAAATGGAAACTCTGTGACCGTTGAGCAAGTCTCATTTCTGGAAACCACCATTCTAATTTTCATTTCTATGGAGCTAATATAAATGGAATTATTCCGTATTCTTTCTTCCTACTCCGTGATGCTGGGGTTTGATCCCAAGGCCTCACATATTCTAGGCAGGCACTCTATCGCTGAGCTGTACCACAACCTTTTTTATTTTGAGACAGGATTTCATGAAGTTCTCCAGGATCACAAATTCAAGGCAAGCCTAACATTGTGTACCAGTCAGTGTACACAAATTTGGATCTACTTATGGATGTATACAGAATACACTGAACTTAAACCTTTTCTGCTTTCTGTATCTGAGAGTCCCTCTCTACTTATTTGTCAGGCTTCTCATGAATGTCCATAAGTCAGTCAACCATAGTTAGTACCAGGGGCCTGTCACTTCCTCCACCAGCCAGGTTGCAGGCCCTGCTTCCATGTTTCTGTCCAACAAGCCTGGTTTGGGTCATTTGTGGTTCTGGGCTGATATGTATGAGACCGGCCATATCTATGCTATTAGTGGGCAAAGCTAGTGGTCCTGGGAATGATGTGGGATTGAGTCTCTTATAGAACTTGAGAGCACAATACAGTTCTGAACATACCATTCTTCTGGTATGTAGCCCTTTCCCCAAATCTTCCAGTCTCTTATAACATGAGTTCCATCAGTTTATTGTAAAAGGAGCCAGCTTCAGAGAAATACACATCTTCCAGGTCCCAGCAGGCAGTGGGAGTCAGGATGTACAGCCCCTGCTGCTCCAGAAGCTGCTGGCTGCTGAACTCGCCACACACCACATTGCTATGCCCAGGAATTAAGTCAGCAGTGTCTCTGAAGATGACAGGAATGTGCCCTCCATCTACCTGCAGCACACGGAACAAGCAGATTATCACTCTGACCACAGCAACCAGAACAGACAGGGATCCATTCACAGCCAAGAGATGCTAAGCCAGAGGTCTCCACGGCAGTGATGAAAATCTTCCCAGACGTCCTGCTGTGCCAGAGCTACTGCCCCCAGTGGCACCCCTAGCCTCAGTGCTGTGGTGGCTAGTCCTGAGCCTGGGCTGCCTCCTCTGCAGGTGGCTGAAGTCACCTATGTCACTGGGATTTAAAATACACACACCCACCCACACCCACACCCACACCCACGTACACACACACACACACACACACACACACACACACACACACACACGACAGAAACAACCTAAGGGACAAAAGATTGACTTTGGCTCATGGTCGCAGAAGGATTTCAGTGGGTGTGACAGAGAAAGCCTGGCAGGCAGTTTAGTTCACAGTGGCAGAAGCCTGTAACAGGGTTGTTCACATCACAGTGGAGCAGGAACTAGAGACTGTGAAAGGAGTCAAGGGTCAGGATCACCTTAAAGGCCCACTCCTGGTGTATACTTCTACCAGGGAGGCCCCAACTTCCAGAGTTCCCAGTCTCCCAGCAGTTAGAGAAGGATCCTTCAAAACACCAGCCTGTGGGTGGACAGGTCAGGTTAAACGATAATAGGGCCCAAACAAGGTTTCCTGATCTAAGAAGT